AAACCACCTTTTAAGATCATTTTAGTGAAAGTTTCATGTTCCTATCTCATAGAATTTAAGAACAATGATGAATAAATCATTTTCGAGCAAAATTTAAATGGCCAGCTGAATATATTACCGCAGGAGCCGCGGCCGCGGAATTTAAATGACCACGTCAAAGGGTTAAATAAACCACAAGCAAAAAATAAACACAGTGGAATCTCGCTTAACGAGCACCTCTCATAATGAGCAAAACAAATTGCAAAAAAATGACTCGCTTAACAAGCGACATTTTGCATAGTGAGTGACGAGAGGGGAAGTCCCGGATTGTGAGCTTGCTACATCAGTCTGTGTTTAGCACTTGTTCCGCTAGCATCTTAGTGTCGCTTGTGATCACACATTTTTCCAAACTTGTGTTCAGACATATTATTTGTGATTTTTTGTGCAAAGTTTAATAACCCTTGCAAAAATGTCCTCGAAGAAAAAGCCGCAAAAAGACAGCCATAAGAGAATAAAAATAACCGTAGAAATGAAATGTAAAATCATTGAAAAGCGAGAACGAGGTGTGAGCGTGGCTGATCTAGCATGCACATACAATCGGTCTACAGCAACGATTTGCACGATTTGGAGTTGCATTGTGTTTCACAGCAAGAAGTTGTGGAGGAGAGTTTGTCAGAGGAGGAGATAACAGCAAAACAACAATCTTCTGGCGCAATAAGAGAAATGCTGAAAGCATGGGAAACTGTTGCATCGTACATTGAGAAGCATCACCCTAATAAGGCTGTGGCTATGCACACTACAAATTTATTTAATGATAATACTGCTTCACATTTTCACCAAATTTTGAAGCGTCGACAAAAACAAATGTCTCTAGACAGCGTTCTAGTAAAAAAGAATTATATATGTATCATAAATAATAAACTAATTATTTCGAATTCGCATTCCAGGTTGGTTCATTCCGCATAGAAGAAAAGATGACGATGATTCACACTCCTTAACGATGTATATATAATTTTCTTTGAATAAATGTTATACATAAAATTTTTTGAGTACTTTTTTTTTTTTGGCATGGAACGCATTATCGTATTTTACATTAATTTATATGGGAATAACTGTTTCACTTAATGAGTGTTTCGCATTACGACTAAGATTCTGGAACGAATTATGCTTGTTAAGCGAGGTTCCACTGTAAATTACATGTTCCTTGGTCCAGGCCTTCTCTGTACAGGTAGCAATCATTCACTCAGTCAGATAATTCCATCTTGTGGAATGATGAATCTTCATTTCACAGTTCTCTGAGGTCAATTTTATTATTATCCTCCCAACTATGCTCATGTCCCTGAAGTGGCCTCTTTTTACAAGGTTCTACAAGCAATATTTTTTGTTCATTTCCCCAAATCATTCATGTCACATGTCCTGCCAACCTAAATCATTCCTGATTTAACAATATTAGGTGACCAGTACAAATTGTGAAGTCCATAGTTATTTAATCTTCTCGATTCCTCAGTTTCTCCTACCTCATAGCTCCAACCTGAACTCTTTGCTCTTAAATGCCTTCAGTTTATACACTCCACTCTGAGACAGACCCAGTTCACCTATATAAAGGAGCTTGTAAACTTTTTTTTTAATTCGCTTAGTGGTGGGGTGGAGTCCAACTGGGTCCACTTGGCACAGTGGCCACTGATTGGCCTATTGTAGCCTGCCCCAGGTGATTATGATGATGAATTTGGTGGAATGAAGACTGGCAGGGGAAACCGAAGTACTTAGAGAAAACCCGCCCCAGCACCACTTTGTCCACCACAAATCCCACTTGACCAGACCCAGGATCGAACCTGGGCCGCTGCAGTGGGAAGCCAGCGACTAACCGCTTGAGCTATGGCACGCCCAGCTTGTAAACTTAGTTTATACAGAGTGTTTCATGAATTTGCCATAACTTCAGGGCATTCCTGAGGCATTCTGAGTGAAGAATGTTAAATCAACATGGGTATGATTGCCAGTCGTAAGCTATGAGCATGGAAAGTTAAGATTTTGATATTACAAAGACATTTATTACAACAAGAAATGACACTCAATGGCTCTACATGAGATTACATACCCTGGACCTTCACACAGCTGTGACAAATATTAAAACTATATACCCTTAGCTATGATACACATTCTTGCCTATCTCAGAAAAATGCATAATGCAATGAAGAGTGTGTAAATCACTGGCAATGCAACAGGGTAAGTCCTCCTGTATGTCCCCATACATGGAAGTCAAGAGGGTTGATGTCCAATGATCACGGTGGCCAATTCTGCAGGACCCCCCCCCCCCCCGCCCCCNCAACCCAGTGACCAGGAAAATATTCACTCAGAAGTAACCTCCCAAAAGTTATGACATGAATATGTGAAACAGCCTGTATATTCGGACCTCAAAGTATTAAGAAAGGAGACAGGAGATACTGTATTTTGAATTAAATGGCTCACAAATTAGATCTGTTTCACTAAAATCCCAACCACAAAAAATCATTTTAATTACAGTGAAAATCCTATTTAAGATTTCTCTGGAAGTGGGGGACAAAGGATTTGAAAACTGAAATTTGAAGGTTGAGGAAAATCTTAAATGAAGAAAATTTAACAGGTAATTACTGGCTGGCTGAAGGGGGGCAGAGCACAAATTTGATATCAGAATGTAACTCAGTAGTTTTATTATTTGTAATTAAAATATTTTGGGTAACATAAAATTAATGTCTTACCCTTCATCATAGAGTGTGCAATAGGGCACTGACAGGTCACGCAGGAATGTCCACACATTTTGGTAACTCCAGTCCAGCAATGGGCTCACACGCATAACTTGGGGCCAGCCTGAGTCTGTCACCTAGGACATAAAAAATCAGTCTGATCTGTCTCCACACTTTTGCTATAGCTCATCTCCCGGTATTTCATCCTTTACACAAGTTGCAGGGGCAAGGGACTAGAATGGAACCCTTCTTTAAATTCAAATTTCAATGCTATCAAGTTGGGAGCTGGGATAGCATAGTCGGTATAGTGACGGGCTACAGGCTGGATCACTGAGAGGCCAGAGTTCAAGTCCCAGTAGGGTCAAGAATTTTCTCTCCTCCATGTCACCCAGACTGGCTCTGGAACCCACCCAGCCTCCTATCCAATGGGGACTGGGGACTCTTTCCCTGGGGATAAAGCGGCGGGAGCGTGAAGCTCACCACTCACCTCCAACTAGTGTCAAGGTCAAGAAGATGCGGATCTATACATTCACTCCCCCATATGCCTTCATGACATAGTGTTTAATTAGTTACGTACAGGGATAACGCTCTCTCTTATGTTCACACGTCAATAATCTACGATAAATTTCCTCCTTAGTTTAGTGTTCAAATCCACTGCTCCCAAAATAAAGCTTAAATAGAGTTTTCACTGTACAAGGAGTGGTTGGGGCATTGGGGAATCTCATATCCCTATTTCTTAAACTAGGTACATAAAGACATATATAACTTGTAATGAAAATCAACTTTAAAAACCTTCTTTAGCTACGCCTTTCTGTGCCTCTCTCTGAAGTTTTTTTTCAAACAGATTTTTATGTTTAAAAAGCTGACACCTTGATGGCAGCACAGTAGGATGATGAGTGTGTTAAGGCAAGTCAGGTTTGGAAATGGCTTTTCAGAGCTGGAAAGACAGACACTGTAGATTAGAAGAGGAGTCTGGGGAAAGGGCAGCACATAATTAAAGGAAATTATTACAATGTAGGCTCATGAATTTGTTCCTACATATATCACTGCTGGGAACAACTGATGTCTAATAGCACTGAAAATAACTTCCTTAAAAATGGTGCAATGTTATTAAGTACATGGTATCCACTCGCATCTCCTCTCACTTCCAGTTCTGCTCGGCCATCAAAATGTGAATGCTTTTAGTTCTTGCAGACTCACAATTGTAGCTGTAACATGACCTGCTTATTATGCACCAATTTTATGCACTTTGTGCAAAGAACATACAAACACAAAGTTGGTCCTTAAACTCCAGCCCTCTTGCTCCCAAACCAAGTGTTACATGCTGTGCAAGATTTGCCCCGACTGTTGCTTAACAGCTGAATCCTCTGTGCACCTCGAGCAGAGTATATTGACTTGGCACACTTGCATTATGAATGATAGAGCTGAAGAGACCAGCTGAATATTAATCACTTAGTCACTTAGTACAGCACTTCTATCAATAAGGGGCATCATATGCTATACACTGATGTTAACATGAAACAGCAGGCTTCCACACTATCTACATCCAATGTCATTTGAAGGTAACCTGGGGAAGGATTTTGGGTTCTTGAATGCAATGGCATTTACCCTCATGCAGTCTTGACCTTTCTAGCAGGTATGGTGGAACTTGGCAGTGAAAGGGTTAATAATACAAGAGAAAGAACGGTAAAAAGGTAAAGCTTTCTCTGTAAGAGGCCATGGAGTCCCATTGGGTTGTGAGATGTCTAGGCTCCCACATTTTCTAGATAACAGGCTCACAAATGGTGGTAAGGTTGTCAGCCGTACGCACTGGTCACCCTTCACCCTCCAGGAAGATTCCTGGTACTCATTTCTGTTGGAGGCTGAGTCGACCCCAGGGCCATACTGTGGCTGGAAGGATTAGGTCAACCGAAAAAAAATCCACCTCATTGGGACTCGAACCCTTAACCTTCCAGCTTGTAGCATGGTGCCTCAACCAACCATGCTATTGTGTGCCCCTAATAATACAAGAGAGCAAAAAATATTTCTATGCCTAACATAAGCAGGAAATGATGAAAATCAGACAGTCTGCATGGTAGTTAGTATCTTAAATAAACATATACACAAAATATTCATATGTGAAAATGGACATTCAAGCATAACCCAGCAGAACCTGCCTCACTGACTCTGTTGTTTTATGAGAAGGAAAAGAGATAACTACTTCTATGGTACATGATCTTTCTTTATAGTTACTTACATGACCTAGAAACTCCCTGCTTTTATGGAACCCACAGCTTCATTACAATATTCACAAAATGCCATCAATGAACCCTAGTACATATCATATTTTTGTAACATACATTTCAATGCTACCCCCCCATTTATTCCTAGGTTCCCCCAGATTTATGACCAAAACTTCATATACAGTTCTCATTGCCCCTACATGTACTACATGTCCCACACATTTCTTCCTCCTAGATTTGGTCAGAAGTTACATAAAGTAAATACAGCAACAGTTATTTAATGTTCACAGTGAAAGTATCATTCAAAGTATGCACCTGGAAGGAATTCAGTGTTTCTGAGTATGGGTCTGTTCTTCTTGTGCCCATAAGCACTGCCTTCAGCTCAGGTCTTTCCGCTAATACATCCCCAAGAGCGCGTTTGATTGGACCAGGAACTTTCTTCAGTTCTAGGTTATACCTGAAACAAACATTCAACACAAGTGAAGCACAGAAACCATAATACCAAGTGAAGCACAGGTACCACTTGTTGCCACTTCGAAGTCCTATCCATAACTACTAACAACAGCGACTTCTACATCATGACAGAACAGCAAGCCTTACACTTTTATATATATAGATATGTTGGTGTAATGTGTATTTAATAAATTATCTTTCCTTGTACTTTGTGAAATCACTGTGTGTGTTTGTATAATAAAGTTTTGTAAGCATGATATTGTAACATGTATACCCATTGTTAGGCAATGGGTTGGTAAACATTCCCACAACACATGCGCATGCAACAATAGGACATCTACTGCTATGCAATGGAGTGGTAAACAAGCATCATCAACAATACAGGCTCTGTTTTCTATGAGGTCCATGCAAAGGGGTTATAAGAAGTGTTTGGCAGGACAGGAGTAGTAGAAGTAGAAGTAGAAGTAGAAGTAGAAGTAGAAGTAGAAGTAGTAGTAGTAGTAGTATACAGAGTACAGTGGAGTATACAACAGTAGTTGAGAGTAGCCTCAGAAATGGCAGGAAAGGAATTAGAGGGTGCCAAGAAGACTTCATGTGTGATTTGAAGTTACAGTGAGACTGCAATAAATCTGTTGCCAGGATAGGACTAATGAAGATGGAGAATGCTAGTGCCTGTGTAATGGTGAGCTGGAAAGTGTCTAGAATAGTGATAGTGCTGTATTATCTGTAGTCCCAAACTGTGTGAATCTATAAGTGTCAATAAAGCCAATCATCAAATCCAGAGCCCATTATTATTCATCATGGAACACCAGACATGTGAAAATATTTATCACTGTCATTATGGAATTTCGAGTTATCATAGTAATGAACTGCAGTCTATTAAGGCATTACATGAATTTAAGTTAAAAAGGTCATGAATAAGTAAGTGGTCTTTTACTTTGTGTATCATGTCTATTCTGTGAGTACTCATACTTTGATCTGGACATATACTATCAGAAAGTTCCTGGACTAGGTCAAAAAATAAATGATGGCTTAACTTACTCAATTTCAGCTGCCACCTCTTTCAAAATAGTATTCTTGGGAACATACACAGCGACACCAAAATTTTTTCCATGCTTCAAAAGCACTGTGGAAGTCAATTTCCTTAATGCTGTCAAGTACAGCTTGCAATACCCTTTGGATGGCAGACACTGTGCCAAAATGTTGTCTCTTGTTTCATTTTCAATTTGGGAAACAAAGTGAAATCACAGGGGCTAAGTCCAGCAAGTAGGGAGGATGGGGAATGATAACCATGTTGTTGTTAGTCACAAACTCTGTGGCTTTCAAGGATGTGTGGGTGAGTGTGTTGTCATGATGAAGCTGCAATGTGGCGCATGTTTAATTTTTCTGTTAAGATCTCTTGGCAAACTCCATAACTGATCCCAACAGTGTCTACTCAGTCGGCATAGCATGTTCTATGTGCTGGGTAGCAGGGTTCAATCCCCAGCAGAGGTAAGAGCTTTTCTTTGCTCCACAGCATCCACACCAGTTGTGAGGCCTACCCAGCCTCCTATACAATGGATACTGGTGACTTTCCCTGGGAATAATGCTGACCACTCACCTCCATCAAATGCCAGGGTCAAAAAGAGTGGAGTATATTTTAATGAGATCCATACTTTATGTTATGTACCAATTTGTATGGCAAGCCATTATTTTTTTAAACAATAACTTTATATATGAATGTCACATAAAGCAGGGCTTCTATTTAACAGATACAAACCAAAATGATATTCACTTTGAAACTTCTAAAGTAGATCCTAAGTAAAAAATTTATTTAAACAATTTTAAGATGGACTGATGGGCAGACAGACATAACCCTCCCAACGAAGCAAGCTGTCTCAAGCAACAGCTTCTAACACATGTTCAAGATAAGCCTGCTTTAGAGCTTTGCTGGACCACTCACTATCCTGATTGGGATTTTTCATGACCTTCCTCAGTCCCTCCAGGCACAATGCTTGGATAGTACCTCACATTAGACCTTGACTGCTTCCTTTCAATTTTGTTATTCACTATCATCCAATCATTTGACACTACATAAGCTCAGCTATTGAAACCATCATTAAATAAATAAATATATAAATGGAACAATAACATTTACAAACAGGAAGTCACTATCACACATTTGGCTGTAGAAATGAAATACCAAAAAATTGGAAATGGATTAAATGAGATTACAGACAATTTAAAACTCAGGTGCAACAAATTTATAACCTAACTGTATTGACAACCTAGATGGTTCTGTTAACAAACGAACTTGTTTCTAAAAATGCACGGATCTGTCAGCATTCATGAACAATAATTTTAATATGTGTGACATTTTACCCATACCTTTTCACTGACTCAGCAATGAATTCTTCAACTTGAGGAAATGGATCCTGTGATTGTATGTACAGAGCAAAAAGCGGTTTCTTCAGAGATGGAAACGTTCTGCGCAGTACTGCTGTGGCAAGATGTAAGAGAGCTGTGCAATCCTTCCCACCATTAAAACTCAGGAAAATCTCTGAAGGGCTGTATTTATCATAGCATTCCTCCAGAATCTGCAGTAAAGAGAATGTTTAGGTAACACTAAAACCAATAAACTATATGGTACAAGGTTTTCATTGGATAATTGATACTTATTCTGCTGTTCAAGAGATTTTCTGTCATTACAGAAACCAGAGATTCTTTATTCTTGTATTCAAAGAATTAAAATTTAAACATTTTCATACAAGGGAGTGTCAGTAAATAGGCCACAGAAATGGAAGTAGTAAGTTTTATATGTGTATCACTTGGTAGCAGCACAATCCAGCTTCATAACGGTCTACAAAGCAGACACACATGCGCATGTTCAGAGGCTGGTTTCAGTAGTCAGAATGGCGACTGTGCTTGAGGGGTGTAATGCTGTAATGTATTGTTGTGAGCTTTTGTGGGCAAATGGAATCAATGCAAAAGGATGTTCATAAAGAAATGTTTCCTGTTTACAGGGGGGGTGTTTGTTGCATAAAGCAGTTCATAACTGGGTCAAGAAATTCTCTCAAGGATGTTCAACAGTCACAGTTGATGCCTGACCAGGTGTGGAAATGGCTGAGGCAACAGACAAAAAAGACTTCTACGTTGAAAGTTTTGATGCACTGGTAATGTGAAGGGACAAGTGTATCAATGTTGCTGGAGGAAGTCAGGAAATAAATTTTTTTTCCAGGTTCGAATATCACAAGCTTTAAGTTTTATATCCATTCGTGACCTATTTACTGATTCTCCTTTGTACAGAGACAACCCGTTTCTCTCAAATCATTTCTACCTTTGGTTTGTCTCACAGTATGTCTCTCCACAAGCTTGTTGTACATACCTCATGTTTCTGCCCATGCTACATGTCCTGCTGATCCAACTTTTTTAACTAAATCACTATACAGCATAATTTTCAACTGGTAATTCAGAACCTTTTGCTATAAACTATTATAAAAATAAACCACACTGATTTCACGGCACTGAATGGTAGCATCAGATAAAGTAGTGTCCTAAACACTTCCCTGAAAGCATAAGACAATGCATATCCAATTTTCTGCATTTCTGCTGCCACTATATGCAATGAAAGTTTATGGATCCTTTAATCAAACCATCTTGTGATGAAACATGGATCCATCCAGACGCAAGGCTCAATTTTACCTTAAATAAAATAAGTTTAAATTTGTAATCTTTTACCACTAGAGGTTGGGCACATCCTTTTCAGATAGGCATTATTCAAGCAGATTTCATGTAGGCCATGTTCTACAGTGTCAATTCATGGTGATCTCACCACTGCTTGATGCACAGTAGAAAGTTAAGCAACATATTTGTCTGGTGAGCACTGCGATGTGGGACTGCTTGAGAACATGAGTTACCTAGGGGTTTTTGATGCATACCTTGTTCCCAGTTCACCATTCCCAATGGCACGGGCAAAGCACCAATATCCCCTCTACTGCCCTTTCCCCTGCTTAGTTTCAAAACAAAATGCTATATATACACAGCAAGTCATCAACCCACACAATTCAATCCTGAAGATGGAAATGACATATACATCTGAAATTCTGGCAATGTCACCCACAACCACATGATGTACCAACCCAAGAACAGAATCATCATCAACAATCAACTATCATGAAAACCTAAAATAAGTAATGCAAAAACTGTAGCATTAATACTGGTACCTACATGTTAGGTTGCACAAGAAATTACATTTTTAAAAAGAATGACATTTTAACAAGTCTACAAATCTGAATAAAACATAAACATACGAACAAAATGATTATTCGGTTTGGTTGGTTTGTTACACAGAAAACTATTTCCCATTTGGAGTTTTAAAAATATCCATTTATATTCACATTTCTGCGACACTTCTTTAATGGAACTGATGGTTTAATAAGACTTGTTTCCCTGGATTATGGCTTGAACCTGTATTTTCCACTGACAGATGGTTGAGCGAATGTTACCTTGTGATATGAAAGGCCATAAAATTTCACACCTTTGTTGCATTAATTCCAGGAACTGAAATGTTCTTCTCTTGTTTGTGTACTAACCATTTAAGTTTGATGCAGACACAATCTCACAGATACAGATCTTGAGAATGTGTTGGCTACTCTGTGGATCTGACAAATTCAGACACAGCATCGTCCGACACTTTCAAACAGAGGGTAACATGAATGTAAATGCCTGCTTCTTACATTCAAAATAGGGAACATGTTTCTCTGTAATGAATCGAAAAAACTCAAAACAGATCCTTTTATCATATTCTTAGGATCTTCTATACAACTTACGTGATTTTCATTCAAGTCTGCAAAGCCATCAATTTAACAAAGGAGTCTCTTTTTTTGTATCACCCAGTACATCTAAAATGAAGAATACAAGCATCCAGATACGTGTCAAGAATCAGCGGATGTGACAGTCATTAGCTAAAGCATCTGTACATTGATGAAAGACACGTTCTTCAGTCTTACAGAAATGCACATTTTATCCTTAAACATTTCAAACAGCCAGACACTCAAGATTCTGAACCAGGAATGTCAAATACGTGAACTTCTTTGGTATGTGAAACTATCATTCTTTGTGTACTCCAATACTAAAATGTAATTAGGAATATTAATTTAAACTTAGAAGTTCAAGATATTACTTGAGGGTCACTAGTCCCTCTCCCAGATACGTTATAGCTAGGGGTATATTAATTGTTTTAAGTTATACAGATAATTCAATCTAAGTTAATTACACTTTCACTAGTAAGGCTACCTGGCTTGCTTCAAATCCGAAACAATGTATCCTCAGATATTTGGTATGTCTACTTTGACAAGTATGTAACACTTTATGGCTTTATCTAAACAGGACTACACAATACAGAAAACTGCATACATATGTCCATCCTTCAAAACAGCATTCAAATCTGCAATCCCATGTTTGAGCTGTCCAAGACCAAACATCACTGCAGACTGTGCGACTACTGTAATGTGATAGACAAGCACACTTTTAGTACCGTACTCTATAAAACCCTTTTCTTCAAATTATGAAAGTGTTCTGGAAAATTAAATGAGTGTGACAGGGATATTGTAAACTGAATTGTACGGAAGGGTGTGGGAATTATACAGAGAAGGATATTAATTCCTTCTGAACTGTGCAAGGAGATATTACATTATGGGAGCAACTGTGTGGATAAATATAGTAATGCAACTAACCTACAGTTTTCTTTGGCATTTATTTTATGAAATCTGTCAGTATCTCAGACTGTATGGTGTCATACAGTAGGGTGGCTGGTGAATAACGTTCTGGAAGGGAGCAATTGTGGCCTAAATCGAGGTACTTAACAACATTTACCTGAAGGGAGTGAGGAAAACTGTGAAAATCTCAGCCAGGACAGCCAGTGTCCCAGCCAAGATTCAAACTAACTCCTCCTAAATACAAATCTATAGAGTATGAATGAAAGAAGTCACAAGGGACTAAAAATATGGAAAATAAACCTAAAACTTTTGATCTTTTGGATACCATGACAGAGATGGAACTATAATATTAAAACAGATCTTAAAGAAACAGTTTGTAAGGACATAAAATGAATGAAATGTCACAAGGCAGAGACCAAAGGTGAGCTACAAACCTCTTCCATATTTTATTTCCATCCTCAATCCACCCAGCTACAAATTAATTTGCATTAAAAAGAAACTCTTGTATTGAAATATTTAAATTACCATATGTTACTACCATATGTGGTCTAGCAGGAGAGATACAAGAGAATGTAAAGAACAAAAAATATGTAACACTCAGCACATGATCACAATGTGGCAGTATATTCATAAGTTGGTGGCACGAGATTTCCAACAGCAAACATGGAGAGGAAAATTACATGTTGGAAGCTGACAGAGAATAGGAAAGGTTTAATATTAGTAGTGATGAACATTTAGGTTCTCTTACTAAGGAATCTGTTTAGTTAACCCATCTGCCATTCTGACAGAATATACTCCACTGACCACCTCAAAACAGTGCCAAATACATATTCAGAGGAGAAAAACATTCTTCATGTTTTAAAATGAAGATGGTTGCTTAATATGTATTTGCACAGGGTACAAACAGTAAGCAGATGGGTTATTATGGTGACTTCTATGTTGATACACAAGTGCAATTACTGGCTGCAAACAGCAAAATATCCACCACCTGCTGTCAGTAATATTTTTATTCCAGGTGTATATACAGTTGTTATTATTTACAGCTGCTATATTTATGATAATTACAGAGAAGAGGGAGTAAACTTCTGAAGAGACCATGTGAGCAGTTGTCTCTCTCCCAATAAACAACCTACCATACTGACAATGACCAGAGACACAGAGGCACACACTTACTTTTGTAAAATTACAATGAGTGATTGTGTCAGATCGAAATATAATGGCCCTAACTTGCCACCAAAACCTCATTTGCGAAAATATAGCCTCACATGCAGGTGTGATTTGTGTCAGCATTTTTTCTGTTCAGACTGTAGTATTTGGGGTCGCAATAACACTGTATGTAGTCTATACCAGCATTTCAGAGGCACATGCTGCCTCTATCGTCAGGGTCAGAGTGCATAAGGTTAAGGATGTGGTTAGGTTACATTGGCAAGTAGCATCTGTGGCCTAATCAGTTTGGCCCTGAACATGGAGACAAAATGTTCCTCTGAAATCAAAGTAGCCACCTACAAGTCTACATGGTATTACACAATCCAGAAGCAATGTGAGCAATCATCATCATGAAAACCTCAAAACTCATATTCAGTCTGTTGTTCTTTATTCTAATTGTGTAATTCGATACACCAAATATTGGATACTTCCAAATAGAGCAGGTTGCAATGTTGCAGAAGGGTTCTGTCCTTGAAAATATGTCCATATCACTGACCTTGTAACGTGAACCCTATTTTTTTCAATACATTCCTTATTAAAAGGGATGATCCATTCCCATGGAAATTCTTCCAGTTCACAATTACAATAAAACACTCTTTACCCATCAGAAACAATAGCAGGAATGCAAAATTAAACTTAAAAAAACTTTGGATTTACTGTTTTAACTTGAACTC